TTGAGTTATAACTAATTCAAATTATAAAAATTGAGTTGTTCAAGTAAAAATTTATGGACTAAGTTATAATCAAGTAAAAAAAAAAGATAGGGATCAAAATATTAATTTTTTTAAAAAATATAAATGAACAAGTTAGCAGATACAACAAACTAGTGATGAAATATTAATGTATAGTGTACTGTCTTCGTTTTTTATTTCAAGAGAAATTGTCATATACTTTCTTTTTTTGTAAGCTAAACTATAAAATTCAAGAGATATTTATCTCATTTTTTTTTTCAAATTACCCCTCATAAAATTAAAATTTATTTCACTTGACAAACTTGTTCTATTAATTATAGGGATAACTTAATTTAAATTTTTTAATTTTAGAGAAAAATATTATATTTTACCAATTTTGTTAAATTTTGGGCAAAAAGGCCAACTTTTTTAAATTGTAGGGTTAATTATTTTGTCCTTAAATTAAAAACCTGAGGGAGTATTACTATTTTTTGATAATAGACATGCCAATGTCATTAATAAACGTTAATCGGATGATCATGGTCCTTAAAATCGTTCACACACACACATTTTTAAAAAGGAGTGGGTGCGGGTGGCGCAATCTTGCCGAGTATGACTCCTATACCTTCATGTCAAATTTATCAAGATTTGAGTTATATGCAACAATTAATATGATGATGATGATGATGATAAATAAATCCCAAACATTGAGTTGTGCGTGTAGATCCTTTGCCGTATTATATTCTTTCAGTAAAACAAGCAACAAAACAAAATTCTTCTTATCCTGAGTGTGGGAGCTAGCTAGCTAATATATATATATATATATATATATATAGGTCAATGAAATTAAGTTATGGTTAGTTATTTATAAGAAAAATATCTGATTTTCCTAAAATACTCCTCATTTTAATTATTTGCATTAGGTATTATCTACATAGCTTATACATCATACAAGAATCTAACTATAGCGATAATTTGAAAAACAACAATAAACAAAGGAAACAAAGAGAATTGAAATCTCACATTGATTAGCAAAATAAACCCCAGCTAAACCTAAATTTAGAATCCGAGGGAGTACTTGCATAAATATAAATTTTATAAGGAGATTATTTACGTATAACCCAAAGTTCAAAAAACTTACCTATTATTAAGCCTGAACTTTTTTATGAATTTTTAAAAACCGAATGTAAAATAAAAAAAGCTCTTTCACATCGTAAATAAAGATAATATACTTACTACTTTTTAAAACTATACAGTAGGACCTATGCATTGTATAAAATTTCATGTTATACAACACCTTGTTCCGTTTTCACAAGTTGAAACAATAAAATTTATTTAAAAAATTTACTAAATACCCACACACATATAAAAGTTTCTCCCTCTAGTATAAAATATGCGTAATTTTAAAGAAAAATTTGCATACAAAAAAAATTATCATTCTCATAAAAATATACTCCTTTCGTTAAAAAATATAAAGTATTTTTTGAGGAATCAAATGTTAAAAAAATATAAAGTATTTTTAGTCTTTCAAGTTGTAATTATTGTCTTTTTTTAAAAAAAATACCCATATTGATGAATGACTTTATATTTACTGTAGGGTGTTTAATAGGGGTAAATATGAAAAAATAAGGTTAGTTTAAAAGTAAGTAACTACTTTATTAGGGAAAGATATTTAGTTAAAATTGCTTTATATTTTTGAAAGGAGGAAATATATTGTTTTATCTTATTGTCTTTAATCCAAATTACAAATGATCTGCATACCTTTAATAGAGAATTCACTTTTTATGCTTAGATGAGATTTACATGAAATATAAATTTTAGTAACACACAAGGATATAACTTTTCTTGAGATACTAAAAATAAAAGATAGACCCTTTTTAACTAGATTATCAATTAAACTAGAGTGAAATAATAGTTTTATATTATACTATTAATAAATTATGAATACTGTACTCAGATTTATGTAACACATAGGCCCACGTGCACTAGAAGAAGTTAAATTTAAAAAGGAGTTGTAGATATTAAGGAACAGAAGCCAGCATGGGGAAACAAAGTTGTCAAGAATGAAAGAGAAAGGAAAGAGGGATTTGTGGAGGATAATGGTGACAAGGTCGCAATGGAGAATCAAGAATGCTGAATTGCACCATTTTGATTCTCTCAGTCTCAAGCTTTGTCTTACAAAACATGCGAACGTGACCATCCTAATCAGACAGACCTACGTGGGAGACTCCATTGGGGCTGCTCTGTACTTCACCAACGCCATCTCTTGGGCCCAATTGTTTGTAGTTCTCTTTGGGCCCACTAAGGTCACCTTTCACAGCTTTGAACCACCCAATTTATACCCAGCATGAGCCCAGTTTTTGAAACCTTGTTGTGTTGTGTTGTGTTGTGTTGTCAGACTTATTCTCTTCATTTTTTTCCCTCCCAACTCAAATATGCAAATAGATTTAGATTTCTCATTTTCACGCAATAGGATATTGTTTTCTGCTGTTGCCATTCTCATTCAATTTGGAAAATTCGAAATCACGCCACAAATGTAGGGGCATTCTTTTTTTATAATAAAATTAAGATTAAGCCACGGCATTATAATAATTGTTAGGCTACAATATATTTTTATCCTACCGGTAATTTCAAATAGTTATTTTTTATGCCAATCATCATTATTTTAACAAAATTAAAATTAATATGTTAATATTTGAGAATGTTTTGTCATTATTTAAAAGTTTAATGTAAAATTTTTTTTGATAAAACTATCGGTGTTAGGATTGAATAATTTAAAAGAGACTTTATAAAATTAAGGAATTAATTTTTGTAAAGTTAAAGAATCAAAAATATATTTTACCCCATTTGTTATTTTAGACATATTTTTTAAAGCCACTGCATTATAATAATTGTGTTTTTTTCCCTACACTTACAAAATATTCAAAATTTAAAATGTTGAAGGGAAAATTTGAATGAAAGATGCAATCCGGTGGAACAAATTGAATGAGAAATGAAAATATTATAGACAAACAATGCAATTAAATTTCAAAAAAATGAAGAAAAAAAGTAGTAAAGTCAAGCCGGTTGGTCAACACAGTGGTTCAAAAGTTAGTGAATTCAATCATAATTAAATCAAGATCAACCCAAACATAATTAAAATAATATAATTTAATTAAAATGTATAAAAATTCCCATAAAAAATATGTAAAAATATTATAAATCACATGCTCCCTATATCTAATTCAAAATATAAACAGTTATTTAAAAAAAATTTGCAAACCATTAAAATTCTCTTTCTCATAAAAATATAAATTGTTTTTTCTTTATACCCATTGTTCCAATTATCAATATATTTCATGATAAGTGAGAGAAGTTAATAAATAAAATGAGTAAAATGGGTTTGGTTTTAATACCATGGTAATTAATTATATAATCCTGATGTACATCCAATGTTTATAGACACCATTTCATCACGAAGGGCGCAAGGAGGAAAATAATGAAAGCTGGTGGCAGCATATTATATTGGGTTTTTAATAACATTAATGTTATTATCATGTCACGAGTGTAATGGGAAGGGCTAGCTTTTCGTAGGCCATGTGGATGATGGTGGTAAGTGGCAAGTCTCATGGTCGGAGTAAGAGACGCGCTTAAATAAATATGAAGTATATATGCTTCATAGATATCCATGAGCAAAACCTGTAAGTGGAAGAGATGAGGGACGAGGCACAAAGTGAATGAATAGATTAAATTTAAAGGATGGAAGAAATACGCGTAGTGATCCAAAAGGTCACGTGAGTGGAGTGTTTCTCAAGTTAGCCCAGATATGCTGCACCCAGGCAAAGCCGTGATGTGATACGTGAAATGAAACAGTGAATGAAATGATTGATGATTTAGAGCCGTGGATTGATGTTGAGGAATGCTTTAGTCCCAAGATTCATGAGAAACGGATGATCGCACTTATAACAGCAGCTGACACTGAATCGCAGTCCAGTGTACCGTGTACGTCCCCCAAGCCCCTCTCACATTAACCCTCGCGCTATTTCGCCTCACGGATTTGACATGCCAGTTCCCCCACTTTTTATTATTTTTAATTCATAAATTAATCATTTGTTTTTATCTAATTCAAGCTCAATCCTTGAATTCAGAATGGCTACAAGTCAATTATTATATTTTTAATTATTTAAATTTTTTTATATTTTAAAAATTAAAATCATACAAATTAAAATTATTTTAAAACTTAGATACTATCATTTTGAATTATTAAAAATTTGAAGATTATAAAGATTAAAATTTTAAAATAATTTTAAGTTTTATAATTTTATTTTTTAAAATCCAGAGATTGATAATTTAAATTACTGAAATTATAGAAATTCAGTTAGATTGGGTCAAAGTTAAAAAATTAAATTAAAATTATAAGAATTAAAAATTAAGTTATCATTGATAAGTTAGAATTATTAAGTAGATAATTTTTTAAAAAAATTATGCTTACATGTTTTTTTATTAAAAACAATTTTCTTTTAAATACATTCATATATTAAATATGAATATTTTTTTTTTGTTCTCAAGAGTTCAATCCTTAATTTATTATGTTAGAGGGTACCGATCTCTTTCATGAGATCCAACCTGTTAGTTCTCGGTTGTTAGTATGATTGTCCTGAGTAGAGCTCCTTCATTAATTATTTTAAAATACATGATTAATTAAAGTAAAGGGGTCGCTGTAATGGAAGTTTGGTCTGGTTCCCTCGCTCGCAATAATCAGAAAGGAGTCGACTGAGTCAGGCTCCGAAGTCCGAATGTGCATGCTCTGCGAGACTGCGACGCCTTTTCATCGCTAAATGACGTTAATACCCTTTTTCCGTCTCGTCGTTTTCTTTTTTCTCAGAGGCAGGTCATCCCCCACTCTTGCCCATCTCTTTCTTTCTTTATTTCTTTCTTTTTTTTTTTCCTCCAATCCCCTTCTTACACGCGCCCCCACTCGCGTCCCCCACGCCCCGCCATTAATATCACAATCAACTCGACCAGCCCCCTCCCCCATATTCTACAACCTACAAACAAAATCTACAAATTTCCTTTTCGCTTTTTTTCAGTTTTCAACATCTCGACCACTCCCTCTTTCTGTTCGCTCTCCCTCCCTTGTTTAACAATACACAATCGAACACCGATGCTACAGTCCCGACATCTCTCGCTTTCTCTACTTTTCTCTGTTTCTTTTTTTGTTTGCTATAAATGCTTTGGCCCTTCTTAAATAGATCGTTTTCTGTGTTCCCTAGCTAGCCTTCCCGCTTCGGTCTTCGGCCCCGATCGCCATCATCAGTGTTGATCGAGAAGAACGGGATTGCAATTTGCAATTGAATTTGCGCGGCTTCTTTGGGAGTTGTTGGGTGATTGCGTCCATGGATGTTTGGATTCTTGTGCTAGTGTATTTACTAACAATCGCAGCTATACCTGGTTGTTTATCGGATCCCAGTGACGAGGCGTGCTTGACCCACCTAAGCAAGTCGTTGCAGGACCCCAAGAAGTCTCTCCAGAACTGGAGAGAACCCAACTTCGCTAACCCTTGCAACGATACTACTTCCAGTCTTCAAGGTGCTACCTGCAACAATGGCCGAATCTACAGGCTCTCGCTCGCGAATCTGAATCTTCGTGGCACCATATCTCCGTTTCTCTCCAACTGCACCAATCTGCAAGCGCTTGACCTCTCCTCCAACGCTCTCACCGGTCCTATCCCTCCCGATCTCCAGTCCCTGGTCAACCTCGCCGTTTTGAACCTCTCTTTCAATCGTTTGGAAGGCGAGATTCCCCCGCAGCTCGCATTGTGCGCCTATTTGAACATCATCGATCTCCATGACAATGCCCTCACTGGACCCATTCCTCAGCAATTGGGCCTCCTCGTTCGCCTCTCTGCTTTCGACGTCTCCAACAATCACCTGTCCGGTCCAATTCCGGCGTCGTTAGCCAACCGCAGTGGCAACTTGCCGAGATTCAATGCCACGTCGTTCCAAGGGAACAAGGATCTCTACGGATACCCTTTGCCGCCACTCAGGAATAAAGGACTGTCCGTTTTGGCCATTGTGGGGATCGGGTTAGGAAGCGGACTCGCGAGTTTAGTGCTGAGCTTCACCGGAGTGTGCATATGGTTAAAAGTTACAGAGCGGAAGATGGCAATGGAAGAAGGGAAAATCAGTCAGCTTATGCCTGATTATTGACCTTAATGACAATGGCCTCAGAAAATTCCAAGGTATCTTTGAAATTGATTGAGGATGGCTCAGAGGAAAACACCAGGCAGGTACGTTTTTTGATAAAAGTGAGGTGGGGGTTATGCCCCCTATTTTCCCCTTCTTTCTAACGGGTCATTCATGGGGACTTCAGATTCAGACCCTTGTCCTATCGATTTTGTTGGGGATATAACAGAATTTTTCCCCCCCTTTCTCCACTGCCTGCTCGTCTGTTTCACTGTTTCAATTCCCTTCCCCATTCCTGATTGGCCTGATTTTGATTTTGATCCTGATTCTGATTCCAAACAGTGTATAATCTAAAGGCATCTAGATCACTCGCACCAGTAAGTAAAATTGTGCAGCTTTTTCCCCCTTTCCTTCACCTAATCGCTTCGTTGTAAGTTTGTTTGATTCACACTATCATTTACTAACGGTGCTAGTTGTAGTACTGCTACATATCAATGTAATTTCCTTGATTTCCGATATCTACGTTCCTGTGGGTCGGGCTTGCAGGATGGGTGTTGGTAGGGTAGGCGTAGTAGTACATGTGGAGCTCCGTGCAAACTTGTCTGGCAGTATGCTAATACCATGAGCACAACTGCAAACAGCTGGTGGGAATATAAATAAATAAATAAATAAATGTTGGCATAAAAAAATAATAAATTTAAACATAGTATTATTTAAAGTGCAGAAAATGCCGCGTTAGTCCACATTATCGGGGTTATTGTGCTTTGGAGAGTTGAGCAGGTGGGAGACCAACAATGCCACATGGATTGTAACTTGTCGATGCTGTTACGCATTTTTCAATACGAGGTGAGGGGACTAGTCTAATGAAGACTAAGGTTAAAAATTAAAAAGTGATTATGTAAATTACGTTGAAAAGTAGAAGGGCTTGTTGTGAAGTAACGAGGGGGGTTAACAGGAAGCTAATGCGACTCATAATTGTGGCCACCGATTGAAAGAAAATCAAAATCTCGTTAGCGTCTCTGTCTCTCTCCCTCCTCTTTTTTTTTCCCCCCTCTCTAATGAATGAACCGAGGTGGGGCTAGGCTCGTGCCTCAAGTTTCGGTTCCTTTTGTACCACTTTTCAGTAACATATGGGCATGGCGCTCTATGCCTCCTCTCGGATCGAGGGTAAAACTACAGATAAATTAATGAAAGTAAAAAGGCACGCTTCATTGACACATCTCTCTCTCGAGCATTGTTTTTTTTTTTTTAAATAATTGCCGAGGAATATTGCAAAAAAGGAGAAGAGTAAATCCGTGAACAGTATTGATGGTTCGAAACGGGGAAAGGAGAGAGGAAGTTTCCAAGAGAATGGGAGGAGAGCAGGAAATGAAACGTGAAACATTGTGAATGGAATTAAGACGAGAGATTAGGTGGCAGTGGGCAAATTGGGGGAAGTTGTGGAACAGGGGATGAAGCATACATAGCCCACAAATATGATGAGAAGACAAGTGGGGTGGGTGTTTGTGGGGGTGATGATGAGACATGGAAGCGGCGGAGTTGGAATTGGAAGACGTTGAGGATTATTGAAATAATGAAATCAAATATCTCCTGGCGCTTAGGATAATCAACTTACCAGTAATTTTGACTCGATTCAAATTAGTCCAAATATCTGTTAAGTCCCCTCGTCTCGACATGAAACAAGTTCCAAACAAACAATGAAAGATAATCAAGAAAGGAAATTGCACCGAAAGGAGAAAGAAGGGAGGGTGAGGAAAGTCAAAGGTGGGTTATATAGGAATGATGAGAGTGGAAGAGGGATGGGGCCAGGTCATGCAAGAGCATTTAGGGGTGAGATTTGTTTTGATGATATAAATAAATAGAAGGGAAAGAGTGTGAGGAATTAAATTGAAAGATTGATGATGATGAGGAGTCACAAGGAAGGTGCTTGTCCAATAAATCTGTGGGGTGCTTTTTCAGCTTGTTTGGCAGCATGTGCTTCCCCACAACCCTGAGCCCACTCCTCACAATACACAATCATTCAGCCTCAATTTACACTCCCACGCGTCCCACAACTTAAGCGCACTCTATTAGTCGAATGGATCCATCTTTCTACAAGTTTATTCACAAATCACAACACTCACATTTACAAACACGTGCTAAATTAGTAAATATGATGTCTTGCATAAATATTGTCTTCATATCTTATTTCAATTTTTTAAATATTACATATTTAATATTTCATTTATTGAAATATGCTAATCAAATTTCACCTTCAATAAAATAATCATTTCCCTTCAAATTAACCATAACTTTTGATATGCATCTCTTCTTAATGGAGTGTTTCACTTAAAAATAAATATAAAGTAATTTATTTAGTACGGATACTTTAAAAAAAAAGACAATTATTATACCTTAAAAGATTAAAAATACCTTACATTTTTAAACATTCAATATTTCAAAAACATTTTTTAATAGAGGAAGTAAGTTTTTGAATCTAAATATTATTTTATTTAATCTAATGAATGCAATATATATAAGGGTGCAAAGTTATAAATTTTGCGTGTCATACTTATAAATTTTATCAAAAGTGATGGGTTGTGTTTGCACTCTCTTACTATAACTTGCCTCCGCGAGCGTCATTAGAGCATGGGCAATTTCAATTGTTGACATCTTAAACCAACCTTATATGATAAAATTTTGAAAGGTGATGTGTTTGTATCCATAAGACAATTTGTCAACTTTTAGGAGTAATTAAAAGTTGCCGAGCTTGGTTATGTTACCATATAATCAAACTAAGCAAGGCACGTTATATTGCTATTTATTTAAATAAAATGCATCTAACTAATGAACCTAATCCTTTATAATATGACAAGTCAATATTTAAATTTTCATTAGAAGAAATACTTATATTTAGTACATCACTGTATTTTGAATAAAATTATCTCTGATATTTTTTAAATTATTTTTTAATAAGAAGATACCTGCTATTAATAAAAAAATCACCTAAATTCCTAATCAATGAATAAAAACAATTGGCTGTCAGGCAAAAAAAAAAAAAAACCAACAACAAATGAAGAAAAAGAAAGATTTAGCCCGCCTTGGGCATTAGTGGAGGGTAGAAATGGAAAGACGCATGAAGACAAATTTCAAGATATAAATTAGTCAAAGCAATTTTATATATACCGTATAAAAAAGATTAGGAGGCTTTTTACTTAAGAAACCAGCTTAACTACAACTAGATTATCAGACTCAATCTTGAAATGTATAGTAAATTCTTTAACCAGTTTAACCTTCGTTGTATTTTTCTCTAATTATTCGAACATTCCCTCTACTTCAAAAGTAAAAACTTATGTTACAATAATAATCTTTTTATTTTAAGGATTTCATTTAAATTTATCCAACCATTAATGAACAATTAGTTCATGTCACTAGCTAATTGCACCAAACTATCAATAAAAGTGCCATCTTCCTTATTTGAAGAAGATCTTAGATTTAAATAAAAAAAAATTACATTGAAATTTCACACAAAAAAATTAATTATTGAAAGTTTTATTGATAATTGAGTTAAACTGTATTAACAACATATTAATAGACTTTATAATAATTAATTTTTTTATGTGAAACTTGATTGAAATTCTCCCATTTAAATATGGTATTGACATATTTGTATACATGTGTATGATTGTGAGAATCTCTTTTTCTTATAAGGACGAGCTGAGTTAGAAGTAAAAGAAATTTAAAAAAAAAAAGAATTATTAGCTTATCAAATTGAACTATTTTTACAAGATTAAAATAATCCCACCACAATATAAATACTTTTTAAAGTATTTTAATTACATATATTGCCCAAAAAATTTTTAATACTTTTTTTCTTTTAAAAGGACAATTGATTTTAATAAAAACATTAGACCCAATCCAAAACAGATTCAACCAAACATAGAAACATAACAATACAGGAAAACTAAAAAGAGGAAATTAAAAAAAAAAAAAAAAGGCTCAGAAGAAACATGCCCACGCGGCTATGCCACAATTTGCTGGAAGAAACTAGTTGCCAATTAGAAGGAGAATCACGAACCATGCAATTGCATGAACGAATAAAAAGACAACCAAAGGTTCTCGAAGAAATGGCTTAAAAGCCATGATAAAACAATGATCCGACAGCATCCCAAAGATACCAACATCTCCAGAGCAAGAATTTCAAATGGAAGTTTGGTCTGATAGCCATGGACACAATAATTGCAGCTCGACATAAAAACACTAAACAAGAAAAACAGGGTTGCCCAGAACAGTAGGGAAAGCATGACACTACCTATTTCATGCAAAACCAAACCAAGACAGTCTAGAAGAAGGAAGGGGGGGGGGGAACACTATCAAATAACAAGAGGAACCCCAGAGAAGGAAACATTAGGAAACCCAAAAACAGAGGAGAAAGAAAGGAAAATAAAAGAATTAAAGGGAAAGAGAAGAGAGAAAAAACAGAAGAGCAGTAGAACATGGAATAAAAAATGTTGGGATTAAGGCAACGAAAACCAAAGAAAGAGAAACAGAGAGGAAGATGGAACAAGAAAAGAGGAACCGCCGAAAGAAAGAAAGGCGGTGCAATGTAAAGAGAGACCAGCTCTCCAGTCTCCAATAAGAACAACCAAAAACAGTAAAAAGAAAACAAAGGTAGAGATAAGTGAGGAACAAAGCAAAAGCAAAGAAAGAGGAGTGGATGACGACGGCTTGGTTAGAGAGATAAACTCTCCAAGAACAAGAAGAGAGACAAGCTCCACAGAAACTTCCCATTCTTTTGATAATAACACCTTTTTTTTTTTTAGCATTGTTTTCAGTAATACCCTCCTGAATTTTGACATTTTAAACTTTCTTTACTCTAAATTTCAATCAAATTTTTATATTTTCTAATTAATTAACCTTTTTCATTTGATGGGTGTAATGTTACCACTTACAAGAAGAATTTTGAGTATTTTGTTTTTAGAATAAAAAATATACAAATACTATAGAGCACATTATTTTTCCAAAAAAAAAAAAAAGGTTTCCCCCTGTTATCTTCTGATCTGACGCTGCCCTATGTCCCCACTCTCGTCCATTAAATGAACTCACACAAGAAACTAAGCGAATCAATTTTCATCACCGAGCCCCGTCTGGGCAGGCTCCCTATACAACTGAGTAATATGTTGAAATTTTTTGTCTTCCAAAGTGCCGTAGATAAAATTGTTTATTTCTTTGCCAAAAGAATTATTCATGTTTTTTTTTTTGGGTTTTAATCCTAGTTTAGCTTTGAACTATTGTCTCTAGCATAGCATGTATTGATTTCTTTGTAAGGCATTATTAGATACATTTAATTTTGCTTGTCTTCAGGGTAAGATTTGATACTCAATGTGGATGGCGCAGTCAATGATAATAATGTTGTTTATGATGGCCTCATTCAGGACATTCAATGTAATTGAATTAAAAACTTCTCACAGTACTTTAACTGTCACTCCAATACTACTGCAAAACTTATGGGTATATATCCTCCAGGGCATTAAAATCTATTGGGATGGCAAATTTAACAAAATTAATGTTTATTATGACTCATTTAAAACCTTCATATTTTTCCAACACAAATTTTATGATAACCACCTTTTTGTTGAAATTATCAAGAAAATTAAGAAATTTGTTATAAAAGACTAGATAATCATTTTAAATTAGGAGCTTAAAAAATCAAATAAATGTACTGATTGACTCGCATATTAAGTTTCTATTGATATATATAACTTGAATGTTAAAATTTTGATATTCCATCCAATGGGTGTAAAAAAATTTTGTATTCTAACATGACTTAACTTGTTACCCTTTACTCGGATTTTTTTTTTTTTTTTTTGTGGCCTTGTATTTTGGGGTGGTGGGGGGAATCTGCTCACCTAAACCAGTGTGTTTTTCGCTCTTGGAGTAAATGTAGTTGATGAATTATGCTACGAAGCAGCTTCCTTGACAAAACTCCAGATACAATTCTTTTTATTTATTAGGAAAAATTAATTATTTAATTTTTGTAGTTTTGATCTAGTGTAATTCAATCCCTAAATTTTAACTTGTTATAACTCGATTTTTAAAATTTTGACTTAGTTGTAAATTAGTTCCTGAATTTTGCCTCTTGCAATTTAATCCCTAAAATTTCAACCTATTAAATATTAATCTTTATTTTTAAAAAATAAAATTATAAAAATTAAAAATATTTTAAAATTTTAATATTTATAAATATTAAAAGGGTTTAGTAATTTAAGATATTAGTAATAAATTTTAAAATATTTTTAATTTTTATAATTTTATTTTTGAAAATACAGGGACCAATCGTTAAGAGGTTAAAACTTAAAGGACTAAATTATAAGAGGTAAAATTTAAAAATTGATTTATAACTGAATCAAAACTTTAAAAACTGAGTTATAATAAGTAAAAATTTAGAGATTGAGTTATAATTAGGTTAAAATTATAAAAATTAAATAATTAATTTTTTTTATTTATTATTTTTGTTGCGCCCGGACAAGCCAATCATGGTCTAGTTGACCTGTTTCAACAGATTCAACGTCTTCTGAATCAACCAAAAAAAAAAAAAAATTGATGTCTCGGACTTGGTCTTTAGGTGGAGACAAACAGTTTACAGACCAATTGTTGGATGACTAATTGTTTTTTTGGGGGCAAAAAATCAAATATGATAAAATAAAAGGAATTAATTTACGATCAAAATGAGGGGAAATAAAAGTATTAAAAAAAAGGAAAAGGAAAACGACTAGACGTTGCCACAGTGATAGATGCAAAGCATTGCATTGGAAAATGTCCTTCCAGTGATTCAACAATCCAGTGAAAGCACACTCGAAGCACATAAGCAGAGAAGAAACATTTATTAGATGAAAGAAATGTCAAACAACGTGACAATCGTTTACTAGATTCAACAATGGTTGGATGATTGATAATAAGAAGTAATATTAAGTTATTGAAATGTGAGTGGATGATATGAGAAATCTTACATTTTGCTTAAAAACATATAAATAAAAAGTAATAATTTTTTTAATAATAAAAAATAGAGAGAGTATATAATAAAGAGAAAAGACTCGTAAATTTAAATTTTAAAATTTAAATTAAAATGTGATATTTTTTTGCTAATTTTGCCCATCTCTTCTCTCTCTTACCTTCTAGAGCGATTGCTCCCCGTTCTTCACTGACAATAATACATAATGCATCCCTATTCCTTTTTTTCAGTAATTCTGGTCATGGGTTTTTTTTTTTAATTCTAACAAGGTGGAAAAGTATTTGAGGAATCAAATTAGATTTTTTTTAAAAAAATAAATATAATAAATAGGAATTTACACTCACTACAAAGTATAAACAATAGTAAAAAAAAAAAGGTAAAATTTATATATTTAACTTTATATACTTATTATATTTTTATTTAATCAAATCAAGACATATAAATTTTAATATGTTAATAATATTAATTAAAATTTTTTTATAAAATAAATAATCTTTAAACGATACACAAGTTTTAATTTAATTAGAAATAAAAATTTTAAATGTATAAATTTTCCTAGAAAAATAATATATAGTCCCTATTTCTTACTACTCTCATTTTTAATGATCTGCTTGTGTGACAAAATCATGTACTTCCTTCGTTCAAAGATATAAGGCATTTTTAATTGAATTTCACCTCCCAATAAAGTGTTAACTACTTTTTAACTAATCCTATCTTTTCATATTTACCTCTATTAAACACCCTACAATAAATATAAAGCTATTGTTAATAGGGGCACTTTTGATAAAGGCAATGATTACACCTCAAAAGACTAAAAATAATTTATATTTTTAAATATTTAACTTTTTAAAAAATACCTTATATTTTTTAATGAAAGGAATATCTTTTTTCTATGAAAAAAATCATGTATCTTTCTTTTATTTAATTCTTGTGCTAGCTAAGTCACATCCAACTCAGCTTGTATTTTTCTAGTTAGACCTTTTCTTGCCAAAATTTTTTACATAAACCCAATGCACTATATTTATACTTTATTTCATAAAAATATGTCATAGTACAAAAGTTCAATCAAATAAAATTTTATATATAATTATTTTTAATGATTTTATTTTTAGAATAGAATGCTTCATTAATTTTCTTGTCTTTTGTCTTTTTTCTCATCATCAATGTATACTCAATTTATATTTACATCTAAGACATATTTTTATTGGATAGAATATGAACGACATGATATGCCAAGTCCATGTAAAAATGTCTCCTTCCACAAATGCTTTTTAACAATGGCCAACAAAAGAAAATATAGATGAAAGAAATTTAGAGAAAAGAAAATGGAGAGAGAAGAAATTAAAATTCAACAAATATATATATATATATATATATAACGGACTAGAGTAGAGAAAAATTATTAATTTTATATGAACAATATTAATCTTATTATTTAGAGGCAAGCATGGAGCGAAAATGACAAAACGTTCATATGTAAATTTTGAAGTTGAGTTTTTTATTTTCCTAAAATCATTTCATTTTTCCTTTTTTAAGCAGAATAAAGTGAAAATGCTATTTTTTCCTCACCCCCCCCCCCCCTTCACACCAGGCATTGAGTTAATGCAATGCATGCATACTCAAGAGGGAGTCATCGTTAGTATTTTATAAAGATTATGGCTTATATGAAGAAATGGGGTAAAAAAAAAAAATTAAAGTCGTATAAGGACTTACATGAGGAAAGAAATGGATTCTTGTTGTGGTCAGAGCCTGTATAGGATATTAGAGTTGGACCTTGGGATTCTTCTTTGCCGATAAAGGTCCTGGTTCTTGAGAAGCACCAAAACAACGGAATGATACCTCTCCAAAGAGCGTCGATTTTTTGCTCGGATCCGACCACTGCCATAATTAAGGTCGAAAGGCCTCGTCATCCTCCTAAAAATCAAATCCCAATAAGAACAAATACAGCTATTAAATTTTTGAGTCGTGGCATCGGCATAGAGACTGACCGAGAAAGCAAGCTCTCCATCTCGTTGAAATGTACGAGCAGTTCCGGCAACACAGAATTTACACCGGCCTCCCCTCCTGATGTCATCATTGTGGGTGCAGGTGTGGCTGGTTCCGCTCTGGCTCATACCCTTGGCAAGGTGAAGGCTCGTAACTCAACGCAATTTTGCCCCTTTCACTTTTTGTCCGTAAATTTGGTTATCGACGATGAATTTCCCGCTGGTTAGTTGTGTCTACTTGAGGATGATGATGCAATAAATGGGAAGCTTTATTTGTTGGAATTCCCCCCTTAATGTGCAATTGTGCGTTGCCTTACTGATGAGTGATGAGTACCCAGAAGAAAATAGAAGGAAACCAAAGGATTTCTCATTGAGAAATTTCAGTGATTTGGGAAAACCAACCAGACTGAGTGTAAAGTCAGTCGTAAACAGGCTCTCCGCTAATCATTTTCTTGCAAACCAGGTAGCTCATACGAATATGGAAGTATGAAAATGGACTTCTGTGAACGGAATTTTCTCCCCTTTTCTTTCTATCTTAAAATCATACTGCTTGTCTTCTAGCTGTAACACGCGTTGTTTGTGACAAGTAAAAGCAGCAACTGTCGTGAAGAAATTTTCTTGCAGAACTAAATGAAGGCATGTTGATTTGGTATAGCTTTATGCATGACAGCTGCTTGTCCTAAAAGCATAACCGTGCCCCATATTTATACCTTGTCTTGGCAAGGGTTTGCAATTTTGGAGGTTTGGGGAAGATTTTTTGTTTGTAATGAAAGCCTGATATCTTATATTTACTTCTTGTATTGTTAAATTTGGATGATCAAGGAGTGTTCAGTCAATGGTCTGCCGCTCTCATGCTTTAATTAAGAAGATCTTAGACTAATACCATCGGGGACTGGATATGACTTTGGATTTGTTAGCCTTTATGACATTCCATAATGGTATGTTTTGTCCTGCAATTTTTGGAAGGGTGGAAGACATGTTCATGTTCTTGAGAGAGACTTGACAGAGCCAGACAGACTCGTGGGTGAACTTCTCCAGCCAGGGGGTTACTTGAAGCTAATTGAATTGGGGTTAGAAGGTATGCTGGTCAAAGGAGCAGACAAACTTTGTATGGATTGCTATGGTGCTTGGTTGAATCTGGTATCTTTTCTTGTGATCAGCTTGGTTACAAATTGCTTCTATTAGAACCAAAATGGTGAATTACACACACACACACATTTGAAATTGAAAGAAATGGACACAAATTTAAATAAAATATTTGAACACTTACTTGAAATTTATCTTCAATCCTGCCACTGTCATTATTATCAGCTTATGGTAGGCGGAGGCTAAGTTGGCTATCAATACGAATATCTTTTATCAATAATGTTTGAGATGTGACATAAATGTTCGTCTTCTATGTCAGATTGTGTGGAGCAGATTGATGCTCAAAGAGTGCTAGGGTATGCTCTTTTCAAGGACGGAAAAAAAACTATGCTATCTTATCCCTTGGAAAAGTTTCACGCTGATGTGGCTGGGAGGAGCTTTCACAATGGCCGTTTTATACGGAAGATGAGAGAAAAAGCTGCTGAACTTCCCAAGTAATCGTTCTTGTCCTTTTCTAACTGTTATTTTTTGCTATTAGCAATGGTGTGCGGGATATATGATGTCAATAGATGGTATATTTCATTTTCCATGCATTTTTTCTCGTATTCTTGGGCTTGATGATCTTATTCTTATCACTTCCATTGGCACTTATTTTCCGTTTAGTGTACGAATGGAACAAGGCAATGTAACATCCCTGCTTGAGGAAAATGGAACTGTTAAAGGAGTCCTGTACAAAACCAAGGGTGGACAAGAGCATAAAGCTTATGCTCCCTTGACAATTGTGTGTGATGGCTGTTTCTCAAAGTTGCGTCGGTCTCTTTGCCAGCCTGAGGTTGTATTGCCTTGCAAGAAATTTTTGTTTCCTTTTTGTATTTTGATGTTTAGTTTTTCCCCCCATGAAAGTCAAGAATATGCCACAAGGGAGACATCAAAGGATTCTTTTATTCACAAACCAATTACTCAGTACACTTAATTTTGAGGGTCCTGAATACCTAAGGGCTAATCCGCTTTAACCTTTGCCAGATAGAAGTGCCCTCTTGTTTTGTGGGTTTAATCCTGGAAAATTGTCTACTTCCATTTGCAAATCACGGGCATGTTATTTTAGCAGATCCCTCCCCGATCTTACTTTATCCAATCAGCAGCACTGAGGTTCGTTGCTTGGTTGATTTACCTGGCCAAAAGCTTCCTTCCATCAGAAATGGTGAAATGGCCAATTATTTGAAGAATACAGTGGCTCCACAGGTATCTTAAATTGTGCTTTACGGACAATCCAATTGCAATGTGTTGTCACTTACAGTCTTTATATTTTCTTTCCTCAGTGGAAGAGCCAAAATTTTCAATTTGCTTTATCCTTCATTTTCCTGCATTCCTTGTGTTAATTTTTATCACAGATTCCACCAGAGCTTCATGATGCTTTCATATCCGCGGTCAATGGGGGAAATATTAGAACCATGCCTAACAAAATCATGCCAGCTCATCCTCTCCCTACTCCTGGAGCTCTTTTAATGGGTGATGCTTTCAACATGCGGCATCCCTTGACTGGTGGAGGAGTGACAGTGGCACTGTCTGATATCGTTGTGCTCCGCGACCTTCTCAGGCCATTACATAACTTAAACAATGCAGCTTTTCTGTGCAAATATCTTGAATCCTTTTACATCTCACGCAAGGCAAGCAGCGCAACTTTCTGCATTTTATGTATTTTGTTTTGTAAATTGGTCCATACACTGTGCTGCTTACAGTTAAATGTCTAATGAATATAAATATGAAAGTAAAATCAGAATCACTAATGTTCTCATCAATTAGCAATTCATGACCTGTTGCAGCCAGTGGCATCCACTGTAAATACATTGGCAGGTGCCCTATACAAGGTGTTTTCTGCTTCACCTGATAAAGCAAGAAAACAACTACGCCAAGCCACTTTTGATTACTTGAGCCTTGGAGGCATCTTTTCGAATGGACCAATGGCTTTACTCTCTGGTCTAAACCCTCGTCCACTTAGTTTAGTTCTCCATTTCTTCGCGGTCGCAATCTATGGAGTTGGCCGTTTGCTCTTCCCATTTCCTTCTTTTGAACGCATCCGGATGGCAGCCAGATTAATTTGGGTGAGTTCCTGCCTGCTCCTCCTTTTCCCATCCATTCTAGTTCATTAGCCACGATGAGTCTTCTTTTTTTATGACGCAACAAGTTTGTTGTTCTCACTGGAGAAATTGTTGCAGTGTGCATCAGGCATAATATTCCCCATCATCAAGGCTGAAGGTGTGAGGCAAATGTTTTTTGCTGCAACTTTGCCAGCTTATTACAGAGCTCCTCTTGATAGGTGATGCATTATCTAATGGCTTTGATGTGTTTGGGAATTAGGATTCCCGTTGACCCAGCTGTCTTTTGTAAGTAAGCTTAAAGATATACGCCTAACAATACCTATACAAAGCATTTACTTGCTTGTTTGTATATATGATAGACATGCACAAGCACTTTATTCAATTGTATGCATTGATGCATATTTGCATCTTTAACCACCATGATTAGTTATCCTTATGAGTTAAGGATCAAAGTCCTTTCATGTCATTTTCTTTTCCTTTTTTGTTTTGTTTTTTCCCCCACGGGTCCCCCTTGATTGTTAATGATCCCTTCCTTAATGCGCCGGTGCCATTTCAACTCAAAACAACCAATGTCATTCAGGATAAGACTTGGTTAACTTTCCCCGTAGAGGAAAAGCTAATGCATTTAAATAGAATATGGGATGAAGGATTTAATTTAATAAAAAAGAAAAGTCTCTACAATTTTAACTTTAAATTTTGACTTTTGTAACTCAGGTGCTATAGTTTTATTTATTTAAAATATCAGTCCCCATTTTTATAAAATAAAATTATAAACAACAAGGTTATTTTTAAAATTTTATGGATTAGTGTTTTAAATAATTAATATTACAAGGATTGAATTATAATAAATTAAAGTTAAGGTATTAAGTTATAATTAAATCAAATTATAAGAATTGAATTGCATCAAGTAAAAATTTATGGACTAAGTTATAGTCAAGTCAAAAAAAAATATAGGGGCCAAAATATTAATTTTTCTTAAAAATATAAATGAACAGGTTAGCAGATACAACAAACTAGTGATGAAATATTAATGTATAGTATACTGTCTACGTTTTTTATTTCAAGAGAAATTGTCATATACTTTCTTTTTTTGTAAGCTAAACTATAAAATTCAAGAGATATTTATCTCTTTTTTTTTTCAAATTACCCCTCATAAAATTAAAATTTATTTCACTTGACAAACTTGTTCTATTAATTATAGGGATAACTTAATTTAAATTTTTTAATTTTAGAGAAAAATATTATATTTTACCAAATTTGTTAAATTTTGGGCAAAAAAGCCAACTTTTTTAAATTGTAGGGTTAATTATTTTGTCCTTACATTAAAAAACTGAGGGAGTATTACTATTTTTTGATAATAGACATGCCAATGTCATTAATAAACGTTAATCGGATGATCATGGTCCTTAAAATCGTTCACACACACACACACACACAAACATTTTAAAAAAGGAGTGGCTGCGGGTGGCGCAATCTTGCCGACTACGTGATTTACTCCGAGTTTGATCCGACCCGTCAGATTTTTTGTTGTTTTCGTTTTTCCCAGCGACTCGTAAGATTATGGAATCTTAAGCCGGGTCGTTTCGTTGCATGCTGATCCAGCAGTGGTTAAAGAAATCTCTTGTTTCATGATTTATCAAGCGGGACGAGAGTGTACTTTGCTTTTTGATTAGAAAATTTTTGGAAACGATGCTTAGCAAAGAAGACAAAATGAAAACTGTAGGATTCAACAAAGCAGGTTAACTATTGGTTCAATTTTTTTTTTTCCTTTTCCTAAAGTCTCATGTCGTAAAAACTCTGATGAAGTAAGAGAGAGAAACACGGTGTTGCTTAATGAACAAGGAGCTAGCACTCCACAGAATTAATCGATGCATTTATAATGTGCAGAGTCATTAAGCCGGTCCCTTCTCTTCTCCCCCAAACAGCAAAGAAATTGTAAAATTACTGGGAAATTAGTAATCATGCTTCCAAGACAGAATGGTCAATCCAGGAGAAGATGGTTCCATTGCATTTGTTCGGTGAGCATTTCTGATAGTTCAGATTCTGATGAATCTGAAGCCCCACATGACTATCCTCTTACGTGGCCCGAGACGCCAAGCACAGTGTTTGAAGATGCCACACCTTACACTAATTCCCATTCAGCTGCCGAGCCCGAAGATGATTGGCAATGGCAACTCTTCCCTCCGCCGCCGCCTCCTGTGCAGCCTCCGCGTCTGCCTACTGACGGTGATTGGCAACCCGTCCCTCCGCGGCCTCCGATCTCGTTCCAGATCCCACTGCGTCATATGCGAAACCACGATCGGGTTCAACCGACCCGTGGAAATGTAACTGAAATCTTCGAAGTTGAAGATGATGATCGTGAAGGTAATAAAATGGACGTGGTTAAGAATATGGAAATAACGGAGGCGCTCATGAGAGAAAAAACGATATGTCCCATATGCAAAGAAGAGTTCAAGTTGGGAGAAGATGCGAGCCGATTACCTTGCGACCATTTCTTTTGCTTTAAATGCATTCATACTTGGCTCAACAAAAGCAATACTTGCCCTGTTTGTCGGCGTCACTTGCCTCCTCCTGGGGATTCCGGCCTATTGTCTCGAATTCCACGTCCACGATATGATACTTCTCTCGCAATATCTGTTCGAACCCTTGAGAGGTGGGAGAATTTTTTTTTCCCCTTAACACCATCATCATGAGAGACTAACATTATATTGGCTCCACGATCTGATGCTGATAATGCCTCTCTTCGTCGACTCGTCGCTTTCCTTCAGGGGATTCCTAATCACCTCAATCCTTAGTCCTGCCGCCTCCACATGTTGTTAATTTATTCTTGGAAGATTTCATCCCTTCTGGGCCAATTCTTACTGAATCACAACTTGTTGCTCTTGAACGTGATTCGTCGTCACCTTACTCGTGGAGCTTTAGTGAAGCTGGTTATGACACTGCGCCTGACGCGCGAGCTTGATGGGTCTCACGCCAATCCACAAGACGTTCTTGCTTCTACGCCTAGCAGGTTGCACTATGTTTCCCCACTCAGGAAGTCGATCAACAAATTATCATGAAGTTTGCGTATTTCTTCTCAAATTTTTGACAAATATGGTTTCCTGTGAGATTTATATTTTCCTGAGGTTGAACTTTAACCTTGTTGGTTAATTTTCCGTTTTTTTTTGGGTCAGCAACTTCATGTTTACAAGGTTTATGTTTTCATACAAAACAAAGATAGACACAAGCAGGTCTAACTAGTCAGCCCAAACAAAGAAATTTGAGCGCAAATTTGAAAAGATTAAAATTTATTTTTACTTTTAAAGTATTTAGAGAGGGCATCCAATAGCCTAAAATTTTTGACATAGTAATGTTGCGTTTTAATACTTAAAACGGACCAATGTTGTTTGGAAACTTCCATTAATCAATATTCGTAGGATCCACTTTCAAAACATGTGACAATGACTTAGCATTTTGGTCCAGCTTTCGGTCCACCATTGCCTCGTTACTCTCCCCAGCCTTACTTGACCTGTTCGATTTTGCATCCCCAAGCTTTGGCTCAATGCGAGTATGTAGTCAAGCACGCATTAAGCAAACTCGGCCACAACGCGGCAAGTAAAACCATGGACGATATAATCGGTGTCATAGAATTATCGCCACCAACAATATCTACGACACAGCAGCAAATGTCAGAAGCATGTGCTACGGACCTGTACGAATTGCAAGAGCTGGCGAGCAGGATCGAAGACTATCCCGGGAACGTGACCCAATTAAGATCCTAAAATTTTAGAAGACAAGGGCTTTGTGAAGATGTTGCAATGCCGATCACAGCTCTCCCTCTAACCTTGCAATTTTTATATCTGAATAGATGGACTAGCAAAACATGATTAAAAAATTATTCCTTGCGATTTCATTTACAAGTCATATTCTAAAAAATTTATTTGGTCATATTTATAAATCATCATACTTTTTTTAGGTAATATTTAAAAGGTATTTTTATTATTATTCTTCATACAAGAAAAAAAGTAACATAATATTTCTTTTTAAATTTATTATATAGAGACATATTTAAAATTCTACACACTTTTATTTCTTATATTTTTTTATATTAATATTAATGAGATTAGTAAAAATAACTGATGAAGTACAACATATATCTCACTGATGAAGCCAAAAATACCGACCTAAGGATCTACCAATTTTGAAACCAAAAACTACATAGATATCTCATTGATGCTTATCTTCACTAGACAACTAATTTCAATTAAAAAAAAAGAGTATACAAATTCAAAGATTCAAGCAAAAATCCAATTAGAAGCGGAGAGAGAAAATCGAACAATGGAAATGGAAGTATGACGAAAGGGAAGCAAGTAATGTGTCACAGGCTGAGAGTCTGGCGCAGCACACGACGTCCGTGCGGCGTCCTGAAGGACCCCATAATCCTCAGGACAAGCCTTACCACATACGGGTCATATTGGTTTCGCCCTGCCATGGGCTCATCAGGGAGGCGGCACTAGCCCCCGACCAGTTGTGCACTCAGTTCGAAGACTGAGGCAGAACACCCCCAATGCTAACGTCGCCCCCTTTATCCATATTGTGCGAGGCTAACCAGCGGATCGTTCATTATCTTAATTTTTATACGGTCACGGAGATATCACCTGTGACAAATGGCTAGAAATTCTACCAATGGAAGAAAAGAAGTTGGAAGAATAAAAAGAGCGATGGGAGAGAAAAAGAAAAGTTACAAGGGAAAAGAGGCAGAGGGAGAGAAGTGGATTATTATTGTTGAAATAATGCAGATTACATGGTAACCAACTAGGATTACTTTATGTGAGTTCTCATGCCATCGAGCAATAATTGTGGGACCCACATCTTAAATTAACGAGGGTCACTTACAATTTAAGCTCAATTTTTATTACTTAAAAGATATCCATACTACACATACACTTTAAACTATGAGTGTTTATGTCATACTTTAAAGGTAAAGATTGACTTTAACCCAGCTTAAAAAAATAATATGTTTTAATATTTGAGCGAATCTAAATAAGTATAAAATTTTTTGGCCAAATTCAGTTGGGTTCGAATTTAATTCATTCTATATTGAGAAATCATATATTTAAATATAATAATATAAAATAAAAACAATCACATTATTATATTTTTAATATATTTAATCTATAAGATATCTTAAAATAATATTCTTATGTATCCCAAAAACTATACTCCCTCTGTTAAAAAATATAAATTATTTTTTTGAGGAGACGGATGTTAAAAAATATAAAGTATTTTTAATTTTTTGAGGTATAATTATTGTTTTTTTAAAAGTGCCCTTATTAATGAATAACTTTATATTTATTATAGGGTATTTAATAGAAGTAAAAATAAAAGATAGGATTAGTTTGAAAGTAAGAACTACTCTATTGGAGGGTAATATTCGG